CCCCCCCCCCCCCTTCCCTCCTGACAATTATTGCACAGTCCCTAAATAACAGATCATTATTGGTTAGTCATGACCAAAAAATAGTTAAAGGTGAGATGCACATTTTTACCATTTGTTTAACCATTTGGTTTCGTTATTTTGACTGTTATGAAAAGTTATTTTGACCAGACAATGATCTAACGAAATTATAACTGTCACAATAACTGCTGATCATTGGTTAATCTAACCAATAACATAAAGGTTACGATTTTAACTAGTTTATTTTAGGTTAAAATTACCTTTTGCAACTGGTTATAACCTTTTAATATAGTTACCATAACTGGTCAGTTTTTACCTTGTAGCTAGGGAAAAGTGAATTTTATTATTCAGACAAAAAATCTGAAGGAAGAATCAAATAGTCAGCGAGGAAAACCGCTAAAGTAAAGCAAAACAGGTGGCTCGTGATGTCACTTCACTATCTTTATAACCGCTCTGTGTAGAGTACTGCAATCTTGCTTTTATGCACCGTTTATTGGACATTTTTGCTCTGTTTGTATTTTTGTTTTTCATTTTTGCTGTATGAATCTAGATTCTGCTATTTTGTTATTGAATTTTGCCTCGCTAGTTTTCTACTTATCAGAAAAGGTTTTCTCAATGATTGCATTTAACTTTCGATCTTCAATAAACAACACGAATCACTTTTCCAGCAGTCAGTTATCGCCGTTTTCATTTCTTTGTTCATATCTTGTTACTCTTATCGCCTTAACCTTCTTTTATTCGAATTCAATTCAAAACCTTAAAATTGGTGTGTGTAATTAGCTCTTTTTACAACGTCTTTGTGCAGTTTTCATTCCACTCGCAATTTTTGAATTATTCAGCCGAAGAAAATCCTTGCTGTATTTTTTCTGGCGCTTATAATATCAAGCTCGTCAATTCTTTTATCCTTGTTTGACACTCAGATTATGAATTGTCTTGCAAGACACAAAAACCTTTCTTTATTCTAAAGGAGAGCAGTAAGAGCCATAATATAAATTACCGGGCTAAAAATTATGTTGTAATGATACATTTTCCTCACTTCATATTAATATTCGTAGTCTACCTAAACACTTTGATGACTTATCAGAATTTCTTCTTACATTGAACAGGTCTTTCTCCATTATTGCTGTTTCTGAAACCTGGTTACATAGGTCTAATTCTGATTTATTCCATTTGCCAGGCTACCATTTTATCTCTAGTCACAGAGAACATAAAGCGGGTGGTGGGGTTGGTATTTATATTCAGTCTCACTTAAAATTCAAGCTTAGAACTGATCTCCAATCCTCTGATAATGCACTGTATGAATCAGTCCTTGTAGAAATTATTCAACCACACAGAAAGAATATCATTGTTGGCTGCTTTTATCGACCCCCTGATGCCTCGGTTGCTGATTTTAACAAATCTCTCGAAGGCATCTTATCGACTATCAGCTTTGAGAATAAGCTATCTTATCTCATGGGTGATTCTACTATTAATATCCTTAATTCACAGTCCCACCAACCTTCTAATGAGTTCATCAATCTTATGGTATCTAATAGTCTATATCCTTTGATTTGTAAGCCAACTCGCCTAACTTCCACAATTGCAACTCTGATTGATAATATATCTACAAACAATCTCGAACACTGTATGAATAGTGGCATTTTCTACTCTGATTTATCTGATCATCTCCCAATTTTCCAAGTCACTCATCTAAAATTAGATGCTGAAACGCCTTGCAGAAAGAGATTGGCACGCCNTGTATGAATCTAGATTCTGCTATTTTGTTATTGAATTTTGCCTCGCTAGTTTTCTACTTATCAGAAAAGGTTTTCTCAATGATTGCATTTAACTTTCGATCTTCAATAAACAACACGAATCACTTTTCCAGCAGTCAGTTATCGCCGTTTTCATTTCTTTGTTCATATCTTGTTACTCTTATCGCCTTAACCTTCTTTTATTCGAATTCAATTCAAAACCTTAAAATTGGTGTGTGTAATTAGCTCTTTTTACAACGTCTTTGTGCAGTTTTCATTCCACTCGCAATTTTTGAATTATTCAGCCGAAGAAAATCCTTGCTGTATTTTTTCTGGCGCTTATAATATCAAGCTCGTCAATTCTTTTATCCTTGTTTGACACTCAGATTATGAATTGTCTTGCAAGACACAAAAACCTTTCTTTATTCTAAAGGAGAGCAGTAAGAGCCATAATATAAATTACCGGGCTAAAAATTATGTTGTAATGATACATTTTCCTCACTTCATATTAATATTCGTAGTCTACCTAAACACTTTGATGACTTATCAGAATTTCTTCTTACATTGAACAGGTCTTTCTCCATTATTGCTGTTTCTGAAACCTGGTTACATAGGTCTAATTCTGATTTATTCCATTTGCCAGGCTACCATTTTATCTCTAGTCACAGAGAACATAAAGCGGGTGGTGGGGTTGGTATTTATATTCAGTCTCACTTAAAATTCAAGCTTAGAACTGATCTCCAATCCTCTGATAATGCACTGTATGAATCAGTCCTTGTAGAAATTATTCAACCACACAGAAAGAATATCATTGTTGGCTGCTTTTATCGACCCCCTGATGCCTCGGTTGCTGATTTTAACAAATCTCTCGAAGGCATCTTATCGACTATCAGCTTTGAGAATAAGCTATCTTATCTCATGGGTGATTCTACTATTAATATCCTTAATTCACAGTCCCACCAACCTTCTAATGAGTTCATCAATCTTATGGTATCTAATAGTCTATATCCTTTGATTTGTAAGCCAACTCGCCTAACTTCCACAATTGCAACTCTGATTGATAATATATCTACAAACAATCTCGAACACTGTATGAATAGTGGCATTTTCTACTCTGATTTATCTGATCATCTCCCAATTTTCCAAGTCACTCATCTAAAATTAGATGCTGAAACGCCTTGCAGAAAGAGATTGGCACGCCTCATTAACCCTGCAACGATTGCAGCATTCAGGTCTAAATTGGAAACCATTGATTGGTCTGTTATCTATAACTCTGACTCTACCAGTGACTCCTATGACACATTCTCTAGTCTTCTTATTTCAGCATATCATAAGTCATTTCCACTTAAACCCGTATACCCTGAATCCGGGCGTTCTTCTAAACCCTGGTTTTCAAAAGGTCTCTTTGTATCCTGTAACAGGAAGAATTCCCTTTATAAACAATTCCAAACAAACCCTACTGAATCAAACAAATCTAGATATAACGAGTATCGAAATAAGTACAATTTTCTCATTAGAGTTGCTAGGAAAAAATATTTTCATGACAAATTAGTCTCGGTTAGCTCAGACCTGAGGAAGACTTGGTCAGTTATTAAGCAGATTATTTCTAAATAGAAATCTGAACAACATTTTAGTAATATGAAAGACAGTACCGGTGTCTGTTCAGACCCTTTACGTATAGCTTCTAACTTTAATAATTTCTTTGCTAACATAGGACCCTCTCTGGCCAGTAAAGTTCCATCTACTCAATTTTCTCATAAAGATTTCCTTGTTGGTCACTTTGCTGATTGTTTCTTTCCAAATCCCACTTCTCCTGCTGAGGTTGCCCCTATTGTTCATAGTCTAAAAAATAGCAAATGTGAGGGTGTTGATGATCTTTCTATATCTCCCATCAAAGAAACAATTGATTTTCTTGCTGTTCCTTTATCTCATATTTGCAATCTATCATTTGAGCGTGGGAATTGCAAAGATTCTCCTAATTTTTAAAAGTGATGACCCTTCTTTGTTCTCAAACTATCGGCCTATTTCTATTCTCCCCTGTCTTTCTAAGGTCTTCGAGACACTTTTTTACCTCAGGTTATCAGGATTTCTCACAAAGTTTAATATCCTTAATCATCATCAGTATGGCTTTAGACCACATCACTCTACTGCTATGGCTATCTTAGAACTTGTCAACAATATCTATGAAGGTTTTGAAAACAATCAGTACACTGTTGGAGTCTTCATTGATCTTAAGATAGCATTTGATACAGTCAACCATGAAATACTTTTGGATAAACTAAATTTTTATGGCATTTACTTTTTCTTTTGTACATCAATGATCTTTTTCATGTCTTTAATCTCTTGTCTATCATTCTCTTTGCTGATGATACAAATATCTTTCTTCGTCATAATGACCTGGCTACCTTAGCAACCATTCTCAATGTAGAACTCTCTCATGTCTCTTCTTGGTTTAATGCTAACAAAAACACTATTCATCCTGCCAAGTCTAAATTCATCATTTTTCACCCGCGACGTAAACAAATTAACTCCTCAGATATAAACATATTTATAAATAATTCTCTCATCACACGTGTGCAGGAAGACAAATTTCTTGGGATTATCATTCATGAAAATTTATCTTGGAAACCGCATATCTCTGCTGTCTGTGATAAAGTCTCTAAAGTAATAGGAGTCTTATGCAAGTCGAGGCGATACTTACCCTTGAATACTTTGAAAACTTTATATAATTTTCTTTTCTTACCTTACATCAATTATTGCAGTTTAATATGGGCATCTACTTATGCTTCTTACCTTAAACCTCTATATGTACTTCAAAAGAAAGCTGTTCGTGTAATTACTTCTTCTCCTCCGCGCACATCCTCTAAGCTCCTTTTTTCTAAGCATAATATTCTTTCACTCTACTCTATCTATAAATTCCATGTTGCTTGTTTTGTATTCTCACATTTTAATAGCCTTTTACCTACTCCTGTTTCCTCGATCCTTCATTTTAATTCTGAATATCACGATTATATGACTCGTTCACGTTTTAATCTGCATAAATCTTGTCATAAGTACCAATTTGCTATCACTTGGCAAGCTCCTATTATTTGGAATGATATTCCGTTAACTGTGCGCAATAATCTCACAGTAAGTAACTTTAAAAAAAACTTAAGACTGTATTTTTCTGAGTAGTTAATTAGCCTATGCATAATATGTACACCTTATGGGACTATACTAGGTGTATTTGTTTGTAGTTGTTTGTGTGGTTTATAGGAATTATTAGGTATAATAATAGGTTTCTAGGAATTATTAGTTGTTTAAATATTTGAAATTAACTGCCAAGTATTGTATTTTAGTTGTAAGTTTTTCTAACTGACCTTTTCTTTCTTGATCTAATTGTATTGTAATTATTTTAGTTAAAGCCTTCTTCTATTCCTGTAAATTCTTCACGTCTTTTTTTGCTGACCTCGGGCCATTTAAGCCCCCGGCTTTGGCTGTTCTTGTGTATTTTTTTCTTCCAGGAAATGATTAATTAAACGTATTATTATTATTATTATTATTATTATTATTATTATTATTTGTTTTGGTTTGCAATCGATCGCGTCGATCGCGTCGAACGCTTCCTACTTCAACCCCCATAGGTTGGAGAGTGAAGGAAGATTTTCCTGAAACTTTTAAATCTCAGTTGGAAAAAAATAAGAACGTTATTCACCGGCCTAGGTCGGTCCGTATTGGAAGAAACTGTGCCCTCGGTCTGATTACCTCGGGCACAGTTTCTCCCAATACGGACCTCCCAGACGATGAATAACATTATATTTATTTCACTAAATTGCAAAAAAACCTAAATAAAAGAACCATAACTACACGAGGATCACACTCATTATAAAAATTTGTTCTATACCCTTACAACTAATCGGATTCAAAATTAACAAAGTTTTAACAAAAGCTGCTTTAAAAGAAAATCAATGTCCATTCAAAACATGTTACTTTAGCTTTCGACAATGTTTGGGTTCTTTGCGTTGAAACCTAACGAGCAAAAGCTACAAAAGCGCATGCCAAAAGCATGATGGCGCTGACTATTGGTACTTTGGCTCCATTTTCGGCTTCATTGTCGTCTCCATTGCACAGGTCACCTTTACAGCAGTTGACTTCGCATTTGGTGATTTTCGTCGAGGCGTCGGTCGGTCTGCAGTTCAATGGGCCCAGGCTGCATAGTGATGAAGTGGCGCATCCTTTGACAAAGAGTTTAACTGTCTTTTGCGGGCTCTCAGATTTTCCTTCTTGTGTGACACAACGATCAAAGTCGTCCATACAGGTTATCTCTTTTGTCGTGTTTTTGCAGTCATCCCAGCTTTCCGCAGAAAAACATAGGTTGCATTTCAGGGAATAAGCTTGAAAATATAAACAAATATTAAAAAAAAAAACTAACAGTGAGTTTTATTCTTAGCCTGACAAAACAGCCGATATTTTGCGACTCCACCTCTGGTTTAATTCCCCGCAAAATGACGTCGGAACCAGTGGTGGCGTCGCGGAATGTCGGCTTTGTTCTCAGGCTACCTGATTCTTTAAGGGCTGACACACCGACCCTACCGGATAAAAGTATTTTTGCCTTAATTTTTTGGCGTGAGAAGAAAGGAATCGCGCGGTTACAAATTGTTTTGGCGGTGAAACAAAGCTTAGAGCGCAACCTCTACGTTGGAGGTGTGGATCGCTCCGCTAGATTTAAAAACAATTATCAGCAAGCAGTTCAGTGACTTGTGCTTATCTGTGATTCTAGGAGACTTGGACCAAACCTGTCGATCTTATTCTTCATCTATGAAAGTGTCTTTACTATATGCCTTGCTTCGCGGGCACTGAGGCAAGATCAGTGCAAGATGAAGCTTATCATGTGTTCTAGTTGCCTACCCGAGCGAGCAAGATAAGCCTATCTTGCCCGCTCGGGATTTTCCGCTATGTCACCGCAGGTAAACATCTTCTTTGGCCACATACTAAATCTTTTCTTGATTAAGCTTGTTCGGTCAAGATGGCTGGATATTGGCCCATGTTGCTTTATTGCATTTTAATGCAGACGTAAAAACGCAAAATAGAACTTGCCCAATATCCAGCCATCTTGTTCGAACAAGCTTGGTCAATAAAGGCTGGTTTTTCGCTGAAGCGTAGAGTGTGATGATCTAGTAAAAACAGCGTTCTTATTTCACTTACGACTCTATCCTTCGCTCACGGTTTAGTGAAAACATGCCAGAGGGTTGTCGGAGTCGCAAGCACTAGCGGAAGAACGAAACCAATCAGAAAGCGTAGAAACGAGCATAGTGATTGGTGTATCCTTCTGCTTCTGCTTCCGACTCCGAAAATCTGGTTTTCTCAAGATCGCAAGCGACGGAGTTATAAGCGGAGTCGAAACAATGGAAATGTTCTGATTCTTCCGACTCCGATTCCGTGTTGCTCTTACGACTTCGCTTACAACTCCTACTACTTCTCCTACTCTTTGGTGAAGAAAATAACAGGAAAGAATAAAAGCTCCAACAGCGTTCCATCGTTTTCTAACTTCAATACCATCCTAAATTATTCCTAACAAAAACGTTATGTTATTCGCGCCCAAATGGGAAAAACTGAAAGCCACTCAGATCTGTCAGGTCTGATAATGTACTTTCATATTAGAATTCAATTTATCAAACCAAATCGTAAAGCGTGAAGAAAAAAAATCGAAGATGATGTTTGTCCGACTTATGGTTAAAATGTAATTAATATTGCGCGCCCACCACTTTATTCAGAGAGAGAAGATCAAGCACGCCAACAAAGGGAGCCGCGAGTATTTCGGGACAAGATTCCTGCAGCATTGTCCTTACTTTAATGGAAAGAACTGAAGAGATAGAACCGGACTAAAGTGACTTACCGACTGAAATGCAAAGAAGAAGGGCGAGACCGAACAGGGTCTTCATGTTGTTAGCGAGAACACAATTCTGAACACCTCAAAGACGCAGACTGTTATAGAAAGTACGCTTCTCAACGCGCGTTTTACTAAACCACAGACTGAGGATGTCATTCATTACCTACTTTTAAGTACTTGTCAATCCGTTGATTTTAACTCCATGATGACCAATAGAAACTCAGGTTTTTATTTTACTGTCACGTTTATTTGATTAGCATTTGCCAATCATAATTACATGCTAGCGTCGGTTAGGGACGGACCATTAGAAATATAACCAGAGGTGGGGTGACAATTCCCCAAAAAAAATTCCTGCAAGGGAAACTTGTCAAAAAAAATTCCTGCAGAGGAAGCGACATGCATAGCATTTAAGGTTATTAAAAGTATGGGATAAGGGGGGGAAAGGTAACACAAAACAATGCCTATAGATAAAGAAAATTGAAATTCTTAATTTGTACTTCAGTACTTTTATTTGAAAACAACTGTTTGATATTTCTTCATACCACAAAACATAAATAGTAATGGCTTACTTTCTACACAGTCATCATTACCACTGATATTGCTATCACAAGTATATAGGCTGAGGTCACATCTACGACGTAACTAAAGTTTAACTTAAGTTAGTGTCAAGTTAATTACGTATTGTTATACCTAACTGTAGTTAGTGCTTTCGGTCGACATTGCGGTCACACCACGCAATTA